AATGGAAAGGTCGTTATATCGTGCTCGCTCAGTTCTATGGCCCATTTGGCCAATCTGCCCGACAGCTCGGGCTTGTGCAGAATATTTCTCAATGGAAAGGTCGTTACTACCGAGATGGGATGGCACTGGAAATAGGATCTAAGCTTTCGTGAAGCTATGACCAAAGCCAGGGCCAACTTCTCGAGATGTAGATACCTCATCTCGGCATCAAGCAGGGTTTTACTATAAATGGGGGATTGCGTACCTTTGTTTTCCCGGACAGGACCGCACTCACGACCACGTCCGACACGACTATATAGACAAGGAGACACTCACCAGGTTCTGCCTTGGCGAGTAGTGGAGGAGAAGATAAGTATGACTTTAATTCTTTCAAGGCTTCGACGCACTCGGATTTCCATTGGAGTCCATTGTCTTTCTTGAGTACACCGAAAAATTTATGGCATCTATCGGAGGATCGTGAGATGAACCTCGACAGGGCGGCTATGCGGCCAGTCAACTTTTGTACTTGTTTCTTACTAGTCAGGTTCTCCGGTATTCCTTCTATAGATTTGATTTGGTCGGGGTTGACCTCGATGCCTCGTTGTGATACCAAGAAATCGAGGAACTCTCATGTGGTTACTCCGAAGGCGCACTTTTCGGGGTTTAATTTCATACCGTATCGTCTGAGTATGTCGAAGGTCTCTTTTAAGTGGTCGATGTGATCCTCCTTCCTTTTCGACTTGACAAACATGTAGTCGATGTATACTTCCATCGTTTTGCCGAGCTGGTCTTTGAACATTCTTGTCACTAACCTCTGGTACGTCGCCCCGTATTTTTCAGTCTGAAAGGCATCACTCTGTAGCAGTACGTTCCCTGATGGGTAATGAAGGTGGTTTTCTCCTAGTCTTTCTCTTCCATGAGGATCTAGTTGTAGCCCGAGTACGCGTCTAGGAAGCTGAGCAGTTCATGCCTGGACGTTGCGCCAATGAGTTGGTCGATATGAGGAAGTGGAAACGAATCTTTCGGGCATGCTTTGATTAGGTTTGTGAAGTCCACGCAGATCCGCCACTTCCCGTTCTTCTTTTTCACCATAACCACATTGGCGACCCACTGAGGATATTTTGACTCTCTGATGGAGCCGTTTTCCAACAACTTCTCTACCTCTTGCGGACTTCGTCGTTTATGGCGGAGTTGATCTGCTTGATTTGTCTCACCGGGGGGGGGGGGGGGGAGTGGAATGGGTAGGCGTTCAGCTTGTGTGATGCTATCTCCTTTGGGATAGTAAAAGGGGCATACCTCCCTCGCTTCAGTGGGTTCCTGTTCGTGGCCTGGACGGGCCTTAATCATGGAGAGGGGGCGACATGAGGGTGCGTCTGACGTAGGGCTGATGTCTTTCTCGATTAGGTCGGGGTCCAGCTAGATCTCTCATATTGTCGTTTCTCCGGTCCTTTCTGGACTCGGCTTGTACCGAAGTTAACCGTTGGGTTGGCCCATTCAGATCATCTTCGTCAGCTTGAACTTCAGCACAATAAGCATTGTGTATTTCGTCCCAAGTGGTCGGGGGATATTTCATGAGGCGGCTCAGTAGTTTTCTGGTCGCCCTCGAACTGCTTCTATTTAGCCCGTTTTGGAAGGCTGCCACGGCCATTCCTTCCGATACGTTTGGTAAGGTCATCCTTACTCGGTTAAATCGAGCAAGGAAGTCCCCTAGTCCCTCTCCAAGTGATTGTTTGATGGAAAATATGTCATTTACTCTTGCCTCTGCCTTTTTCACTCCGGCATGGGCCGTTACGAACTTGTCGGCCATCTCTTCGAATGTTGCAATCGAGCGTGCGGGCAGCTGTGAATACCAAGTCAATGCGCCCCCGGTAAGGGTTTCGCCGGACTTCTTAATAAGATGGACGAAACTTGCTCTTGGTGAGGTAGTTGCTTTTTACTGCAGTGACGTAATGAGTCACATGATCTTCAGGGTCCGTTGTGCCATCGTATATTTTTAGGTGGCATTTTAAAGGTTTTGGGTATTGCGTGTGGTGCAGCTTTGTCGCTTTATGGCTGCTCAATAAACCGACCGGCGTTCCTTATTGGTAGGAGTTTTGGGGCGCCCGGTATTTTGTCTACCCTTTCTGAATGTTCTTTCATTTGGTCGCGGAGCATTTTGTTCTCGTTCTCCATCTCCTCCATTTTCCTCAGAATGGCCGTGAGGGTGTCGTTACCTGCATCACTAACATTGTGAGTAATACCTGTTATAGGGGGGCGTGTTGCTCGTCTGTTGCTGATGCAACGCCAGCTCTTGCATCTTTTCGGTTCGACCTTTGAGCGGGCTTGTCGAGAATGCTGGTCAACGTGCTCGTCAACTATGCCTCGAGCAGCTTTTTCACTACCGGTGGTGCCTCTTCTGTTGTGGACGTAGAGGCCCCTTTTCCGTGTGAGGTTGTGTTGCTGCCGTGAGGAGGGGGAGAGCTGTTTCGCCTGGGTGAGGTATCTGGTGTTATGTCTTCACTCTTCGTTTCATTGACTTCATTGATGGTGTGGAGGAGGTTGGTGGTGAGGTCGGCTATTGCTTTCCTCTTTTCCTCTCTATTGCCTGCCATGTTAGATTTGTGTACACAAGTGTAGGCTTTTTGCATTTTTTTAGATCTAGAAGAAACTAAAATTTTAACTAGAAAATCCCCACAGAGGGCGCCAAATTGTTTGACCAAAAAGTGTGAAACTATTTGTTAAACTAATTAAATGAAAGGTTAAGGGATTGATAAAAGTATAAGATAATCTCTCTAGATCAAAAATTAGTATATATGGATAATATGGGACCACGATATAACAGATTTCATGCAAAACATGATAAATGTGGCTATTGTTGATGTGGTGAGAGTAAGTAACAAATAACATTAAATGGCATTAAATGTAAATAAGGAGGAAGATTCACCAAATAATGAGAGAAGTGAATGATTCCCTCTTCCGACAATGATAAACGACAAGAATATGAGGGAATATTATGTACTTTCTTGGATCTGTTGGAAATGACAATGGATTGAATATAAGAATGGAATCTCTCTTCGAAAGTTGTTCTTTGTACTTTTCTAGAGAGCTTACTTTTCAAAAGTGTACTTATCAAATGGAATAGTACATGGCTTTGGCTTTATCTCTCCTACTATATATATGAGATATTTCCGAAAACCCCTAAAAGGTACAATGGAAGGAATATTCAATGGAATATTCTATTTGAAAGTTCCAAAGCTATACTAGCAGTTATCTTTTGTCCCTTGTTGCTCGACCTCGGCCCTGATAAGCCACAATAGCTTGTTCCGTTCGCCACTGATCGACCTCGGCCCTGATGAGCCACAACGACTTGTTCCGTTCGCCACTGATCGACCTCGGCCAAACTGCTCATGATAAGTTGCAATTCTCACGAGAATTACCTCCTCATGTTGAATCTCCTCGGTCGAAATTTTGACCCATACATACACTAAACACCAACTCCATCTTAATTAAGAAAGGGATAAGCAATGCTACTTATGAACTCGGGTAACCTTGTGGCATATTGTCGAATCTACTCTACCCTAAGCTACCATTTTGTTCGTTGTGATTCAACCACGGTAAATATCTAGTCAACTGTGGTTATGCTTACACCAAGAACTCTTATCTACTGTATCAAGATCTAATTCAATTGCAACACTTATTGTAACAAGAAAAGGGTGAACTCATTCTCAAGCACTTGCAGTGGCTGCCTTTTTTGTTTCTTAATTAATCAATGCATAATAACTTTTATTATTATTATTTATCGTACAAATAATTATTATATTTTAATCTCGTGTATAAACAAGTGATGCATTATAATTCTCACACAATTAGCAAGCCAGCCAAACGGTAAGTACCTTCAGATTGTTGGATACTTGTTATTTCTTGTTATACATGTATTTTACTAATTGTTCGTCTAAGAAAAAGTAGAAAATAAGAATCACTTACATTATAAATTGCATTAAGTACTTTTTACAAGAACGATTAAAATTTTATTTCAATACCAATAACATAATACAAAAATTAATTTTACATTTTAATCTTCATCTTTAACATGAATACCCTGCAACAACAGTCGAATAGCCAAATAAACATTCATATTCACACCTTTGATATAATACCAACGATTATGCAAAGGAAAATTAACCACAAATTAGTCGAAACCTCCATTAAACATAAGGTCTCTGCATATATATAAGCATGTAGCATACTGCAAAACATATAAATTTAAAATTTCACAGTTTAGAAAAGCTAAAAAATTCTGTTTCAAGCAATTATTTTCCTTGTTTTTAATCATTATTGATAGTCAAGCTTCAAATATAAACATAGCAAGAAGCTATTATTACCAAAACTCTAAGTAATATTTATTAAAAGGGCAAAATATAAAATTGGCAGGTCCATCGGAACTAGTTGCATTAGCTAGCTAAAAGTGTATAATATATATATATATATATATATATATATATATATATATATATATAAGACTAAGTGTTTATTTTATCTTTGTAATTGTATAAATGTACTGAGTTGTATAATTGTGTGCTGAGTCAGCATTAGTTAGTATTAGTTAGTGTTAATACGTTAGTTAGTGAATGTCACATGTATATATATTGAAGAATACCCAGTACATTAAATAGAGATTCATTTTCACATTTTATCGGATTCTTCAGCATCTCTCTTTCTCTCTCTACGAGCTTCTTCTAGAAGCTTCAGAATCCTCCATTGAAGGAGGTCTGGAGCTCGATTCTCATCTGAAATCTGGACATGGTATCAGAGCGGAGGTTCTATTGACGACCACGGCTTCTCTCGTTCTGTTGTTTTCTGATCATTATGCAATCTAGGGTTTCTTTTCCTTCATCAGTCAGAATTTAGGGAAAACCTAAATCGGACACATGCAGAAACGATTTGTTGACAAATAGAAGAAATCTCAACCACACAAAGATTAATTCAACTATTTTCACAAAATTTCGGTGGCAATCACAGAGCGGACTAACAAAAAAACCACGATGGCGACAACTCATACGGTAATTGATGCTGTTAGCCCTCTATACATACATCCTTCTGATAGTCCTGGTTCCTCACTAGTTCCGATTCCATTCAATGGAATTGGATACCGTTCCTGGAGAAGAAGTGTACTCAGGGCTCTTTCAGTGAAAAACAAGTTAGGTTTCATCAATGGAGATAGTAGAAGACCTAATGTAACGTCTCCATATTTTCGTCAATGGGAAAGGTGCGACGATATGGTCACCTCTTGGATCTTAAATTCTCTGTCAAAGGACATCGCTGACAGTGTCGAATATGTGAATGATTCTGTTGAATTGTGGAAGGAATTGGAGGATCGATATGATCAGGCAAACGGAGCTAAACTGTATCAAATTCAGAAAGAGATCAATGATTTGAGTCAGGGGGTGCTTGATATCACTGACTACTACACAAAAATGAAGAAACTCTGAGAAAAATTGAACACTCAGCGTCAAAGCTCACTGTAGTTGTGTATGTACCTGTGTGGCGAAGGAAAGTATGCATAAGGCCGAACAAGACAGAAGATTGATAAAATTTCTAATGGGACTCAATGAAGTCTACACGGTTGTTCGAGGAAGCATACTTATGATGAATCATTTACCGTCTATGGCACACGCTTTTGCTATTCTGATACAGGAGGAAAAGCAAAGGGAATTTAAGCCAAGAAATCAACTAAATGTCAATTCCACGGCATTGAATGTCAACCTAGGAGGAAGAAACTTCAAGACAAACTACTCAGCTGGGATTGGAAATCAAACTGCAAGTAGTAGACCCCGACCTTTTTGTGACTATTATAAATGACAAGGTCACTCTAAGGACAAGTGCTATAAGCTGCATGGATACCCTCAGGGATTCAATCAAGGACCACAACAGTACAAGCAAAATTCTCAAGGATATAACAACAATATAAGGTTCAACAAAGGAAAGAATGCTATGGCTAATACAGTCACAAATGTGGAAATATGAGAAGAATTGAATCATCAAGAAGAAAATCAAGGCATGAGCCTCTCAAAGGAGCAGCACGGGCAGATTGTTAACTTGTTGCAGCATTTTCAGATGGGAAATACTGGAGAGAATCCAGCCAGTGCAAACATGTCTAGTGAAACATCAGTAAATTTTGCAAGTATGATTGCTTGCACTTCTTCAATTGATTTTGACAATCCATCATGCAAGTGTTTTAGTGCAAAAGCTGACTTATGGATATTAGATTTCGGGGCATCACACCATATGACTTTTAACAAAACTCACCTACAAAACATAGTAAGCCTACCATATCCTTTGTTAGTTAAACTTCCAAATGGTTACAAAGTCAAGGTAACTGAAATTGGAAATGTATTCCTGACACCTAAGATTGTTCTGTATAGAGTCTTATTCATTTTATCTTTCAAATTTAACCTAGTGTCTATCAGTTCCCTAGCAATACATCTCAAATGCATTGCATCATTCTCTGACACTTCCTGTCTACTGCAGGCCCTTTCACTGAAAAGGCCTCTGGAGATTGGTAAGTTATATGATGGGTTGTACTTCCTCTGTTCTAAGTGCTTGAAGAAAGTTAGTCTCACACCTGAAAAAAATTGTGATCTTCCTTATTTTTCTGTTCATGCTGATGATGTAAATACTATGCACCGTCTATCCCAATCTTACAATTCATTTCCTATTGTAAATAATTCCATCTGCAACAGTAATAATAAAGACAATGTTCCTAGTTTGTATTCTGGTACATCTCTTAGCGATAGTGTAGACCTGTTGTGGCATTTCAGACTTAGTCATGTACCCTTTAGTAAAATCAAAAGGAATTTCTACTATCCCTATAACCTTTTCTACCAAACAACCCTTTCATGTGCAACATTTGTCCTATGGCCAGACAATCCAGATTACCTTTTCCCTAGAGAACAACTGAGACCACTGAAATCTTTGAAATACTCTATGTGGATTTGTGGGGCCCCTATCATGTGGCGACACACAATAATTTCAAATACTTCCTTACTCTAGTAGATGATTATAGTAGATCCACTTGGACACATCTTTTGAGTTGCAAAAGCAATGCGCTACAAGTAATAAAGGCTTTTGTGAGCATGGTGGAAAACCAATTCCAAACCACCATCAAATGTATAAGGTCTGACAATGGTCTAAAGTTCACCAACAATGAAACAACCTCCTTTTTTAAATCAAAGGGAATAAACCACCAAAAGACATGTCCTTACACACAACAACAAAATGGAGTGGTGGAAAAAAACATAAATATCTTCTTGAGTGGCCAGGGCACTACTTTTTCAATCCAAGTTACCAGTGAAATATTGGGGAGAGTGCATACTCACATCAACCTTCCTCATTAATAGACTCCCAACTACTCCACTAAAGAACAAATGTCCTTTTGAACTCTTGTACAAGAAAAAGCCCAATTATTCTCACTTGAGAAGTTTTGGATGCTTGTGTTATCCCATTGTACCTAAGCTTCTCAGAGACTAACTTGAACCAAGAACTACCCCACATGTTTTTGTAGGATATCCTTTTGGCACAAAGGGGTACAAGGTACTAAGTCTAGCTACTAAGAAAATACATATCTCTAGAGATGTTTCCTTCTATGAGTCAGTCTTTCTGTTGGCCCAAGTAAAGGTGAAGTTTTGAAGACTGACAAAGGAACTCAGACATGGACCAGGCCCTTCTTGCGCAGCATAGTTGTGATCAACTCAAACATGTGAGATGCACGTGAAGGAGATAAACCTAACTTATCAGAAGTGATATCTCCTCATCATGATCGAAAAGGTTGCATACTGGATAAGGAGAAAGACTCCTTACACAAAGAGGACACGGTTTAGGAAAAGGATAGAGTTAGAGCATGAGATCAACTAGAACTCTTCCACCATGGAAGAGTAGCATCTGTATCCTATTCAATCTCTAATTGCTAACTCCTTAAATATCAGCGTTGTTCTTTTTTTTTTACAGGTAATGCACACAAGCAGAAGTTAAACGTGAATTGAGAGCAAAATAGCAAGGCGATTTTGCAAGCAATTTATGTGTGATTCAAGCGTGCAATCCTGAAGCTACTTGAACCAGATAGAAGAACCAGTTCCAAGAGTCTATCTTTTATTCTAGTTCAATGTAGTAGGTGATTTTACTTTGTACCTTTCAGCTTATTTAGAAGCAATTGTATTAGGTACTTAGAGTTTTCAAGTTAGAGTCAACTTGAAGTTGTCGCAACAGTTGAGGCTGTGTGCCACAACGGGATTAGAGTTAATCCTAGGTTTACAAAAGAGTTTTTGTAATGCAGTTTTTGGCTCAGTGATTTTAGTGGAGAGTTTGGGAAAATCCTACTGGAAGGTAGGTCGTGGTTTTTTCACCTTTTGAGCCAGGTGTTTTTCACGTAAAATCTCTGTGTTCTTTATTTTCTGTAGTTATTATTCCGCAACAGTAGTAGTTGGAACACATAGAAGAACCATGTCCTTCTATAATTAAGTTAAGCGAAAATTGGGTACCACACAAATCACCCCCCCTCTTGTGTGGTATTGACGTATAAAACATCAATTGGTATCAGAGCGGGTTATCCTTGAAGAGGCTAACACCTTAGGAACAGATCAATATGAGTGCACCACCTGGAAACTAGGAAGGACAATCCACCGCTAGGCCTCCACTCTTTAATGGCCAATACTATTTCTGGTGGAAGAATAGGATGAGAGACCACATCATAGGAGAAGACTATGAACTTTGGGATATTGTTACTGATGGTCCCCTGGCTACTACAAAGAAGAATGTTGAAGGAGTGGACGTGATAAAGACGAGAGCTGCATTACTGCTGAAGATTTAAAGAAATGGGAAAAGAATGCCAAGGCCAAGAAATGGCTTGTGTGTGAACTAGGTCCAGACGAGTACAGCAGAATTCAAAGTTGTACCACTGCTAAGGAGATCTGGGACACTCTATAAGTGGCCCATGAAGGAACTCCTCAAGTAAAGAGATCAAGAGGAACACTGATGTACTCTCAATATGAGAATTTCACCATGAAGGAAGGAGAAACCATCCAAGAGATGTACACAAGGTTCACAACACTAACAAATGAACTTAAGTCTCTTGGAAGAATTATCCTTAAAGAAGACAAGGTTGAGAAAATCTTGACAAGGGTCCTACCAGTAACTTGGGAAAGCAAAATCACTGCTATTCAAGAATAAAAGAACATTGCTACTCTCAAGTTGGATGAGCTGATTAGAAATCTCACTACCTATGAACTGAGAAGGCAAACCATGAAGATGGATGCACCCAAGAAGGAAAGAAGCCTGGCTCTCAGAATAGCTGAAGGTGCAGACTTGGAGGATGATGAAATGGCTATGGTCACAAGGGATTTCAAGAAGTACCTAATGAGAGGAAAGGGTTCTTCAAGAGGTGCAACCTTCAACAAACCAAGGGCTCCTGAAAAATAAACCAACGAGGGCTGCTACAAATGTGGTAAGACTGACCACATGATCAAGAATTGTCCTCAGTGGAAAATTTAATGGAAGAAGGAAAGGGCTGAACAAAGAAACAGGAAGAAGGAACAAGTTCAACCCAAAAAGAACAAAGGATCAACAAAGGCTATGGTTGCTGCTTGGGGAGAAAACTCATATGAGGATTCAGAAGATGAAATTGGAGATGACCAAGCACTTATGGCCATTGGAGAATCAGACGATGAACAAGAGGTAAGTGTGATTCATCTCAAAGACAAGATTAAATTTTTGTCTAAAGAAAGGCTATCTGAATTACTGCTAGACTTCATTGATGAGTCTGAGGTCATAAACAATGAGAAGGAGCAGCTGTCTAGGGAATGTGTGATCCTAAAAGCCAAGTGCAAAAAACTGGAACTCAGGGCTAGAGAAAGTGATAGTAAAAATACTGAGTTGAAAAACCAAGTTCTTGAACTTGACACCACTGTCTTAGAACTTAGGTCTGAAAATTTAAAACTAAAATTAGGAACAGGTAAGAAGAAAGCAGATCACACACATCTCACCTTAGAAGAAAATCTAGGAAAAATGAAGGATGAGCTGTACAAGAAAGATGAGCAGATAAGAGTCCTAAAAGAAGATCTAGGAAGGGTGAAGCATGAACTAGACAAAACTTGCTAATGGAATAAGTCCTCTAATGCACTATCCTGTCTACAAGAGCACCACAGTAGCAATAAGAGAGGACTTGGCTATGGGACCCCAGCACCTAAGTGGGATCCCAAAAGCAAGTACATCACACTTCTTGAGAACAAAATCTGCACACACTGTGGCAAGACTGGTCATTACAAAAGTGAATGTAATGCAAAAGAAAAGGCCAGTCAAAAGAACAAAACCTTTGTTCAAGAGAAAAATAGGCTGCCTGGATGGGCTAGAAAGAATTTAATTCACCCCTTTGCTTATAGAAAGGGACCCAAACTAGTTTGGGTTCCTAAGACTAATCCCTGATTTCATTTGCAGGTCC